TGAACCCACCAGCTGTTCCGTGGGAAAAAAAGACGTGATGATCTATTCCCATAAAGAATTTACAACCTTGGAACCCCTATGGGGCAATTCTACTCTGTCCTATAGGACCACTATGAGTTGGAATTGACCCAATGGCACACCACAACAGCAGTGTGTGGCAAGCCCTGGAAATAGGATAATTAAAATGTGAAACAGCTTTTTGATTAATTATTGTTGCATAGTTAAATATACCACATATTTAACTGATGTTCTGTATTGATGCAGCAAAATCTAACTTTTTTTACGATTTTCAAATGTGTTAGTGTGGGTGTATAGTTGTCTTTCAGATGATTCCAGAGCATCTGCAAATAGTCTTGGAGGCTGTGAGAGAGCGGTAATGAAAACATTCTGAGGAAAATGTCTGTAGGGGATCCTTCTGTTACTTACCAAAGAATAAACCTTTTTTTTTTTTTTTTTTTTTTGTGTTTTATTTCCTATCATAAAAATACGGTAGTCCATTTACAAGGTTAAGAATGCATTGTAGTTCTGGAAAATTCTGGGAAATGTAACTGGTGCTTAGAAAATTCAAGCATGCAGACATGTGACCTTTAATTCAGGTACATTTAAAATTTTTTTCTCAACTTTAAGAATTGTGACATATAAACAGAAAAGCCAGTACAACATATATATACATACATACCCCCCAGCACACATATAACCCTGGTGGCACAGTGGTTAAGAGATCAACTGCTAACCAAAAGGTTGGCAGTTTGAATCCACCAGCCGTTCCTTGGAAACCCATTGGGGCAGTTCTACTCTGTCCCATAGGGTGGCTATGAGTTGGAATTGACTTGACGCTAACAGGTTTGTTTTTTTGGTTATATATATGTTGGTACGTGCTGTTGAGTCCATTCTGACTCATAGTGACCCTGTGTACAACAGAACAAAACACTGCCCAGTGCTGCGTCATTCTCACAATTGTTAGATTTGAGCCCATTGTTGCAGCCACTGTGTCACTCTGTCTCATTGAGGGTCTTCCTCTTTTTCACTGACCCTCTACCAAGTATGATGTCCTTCTCTAGGAACTGGACCCTCCTGAAAACATGTCCAAAGTGCATGAGACAAAGTCTCACCATCCTTGCTTCTAAGGAGTATTCTGGCTGTACTTCTTCCAAGACAGATTTGTTCATTGTTCTGGCAGTCCATGGTATGTTCAGTATTCTTTGCCAACACCATAATTCAAATGTGTCAATTCATCTGTCTTCCTTATTCATTGTCCAGCTTTTGCATGCATATGAGGCTGTTGCAAATACCATGGCTTGGGTCAGCCTCACCTTAGTCCTCAAACTGATTTCTTTGCTTTTTAACACTTCAAAGAGGTCTTCTGCAGCAGATTTGCCCAATGCAATGCGTCTTTTGATTTCTCAACTGCTGCTTCCATGGGCATTGATTGTGGATCTGAGTAAAATGAAATCCTTGACAACCTCAGTGTTTTCTCCGTCTATCATGATGATGTTGCTTATTGGTCCAGTTCTGAAGAGTTTTCTTTATGTTGAGATGTGATCCATACTGGAGCCCTGGTGGTTAAAGCGCTTGACTGCTAACTGAAAGTTTGGCAGTTTGAACCTACCAGCTGCTCTGTGGGAGAAAGATGTGGCAGTCTGCTTCTGTAAAGATTTACAGGCTTGGAAAGCTATGGGGCAATTCTACTCTGTCCTATAGAGTCGCTATGAGTTGCAATCAAGTCGCTGGCAATGGGTTTTTTTTTTTTGGTTACTCCATACTGAAGGCTGTGGTCTTTGATCTTCATCAGTAAGTGCTTTGAGTCCTCTTTGCTTTCAGCAAGCAAGGTTGTCATCTGCATATTGCAGGTTGTTAATGAGTCTTCCTCTAATCCTGATGCCTCATTCTCTCTTCTTCTT